GCTTCAATGTACGAACGCACCTCTACATAACAAAAAAACAGCCAGAACAGATTAATTGGTTTTCAGTCCATTCCTATGGGAAATTTTGCTTCAACTTAAGAACGTTTCAACTTAAGAACACCATTCCAAAACGGATTAAGTTCTTAAGTAGAGGTTCCACTGTAGTTTCTATGGACGGAAAAGAGCAGATATGGATTAAATGGTTTTCAATGCATTCCTATGGGAAATGCAGATTCAACATAAGAACTTTTCAACTTGAGAACCACCTTCCAATATGGATTAAGTTCTTAAGTAGAGACCCCACTGTAATGTGATCTATGTGGGACTGCCTATGGAAAATGTCAGGAAACTTCAGCAGGCCCCAAATGCAGCAGCCAGATTGCTAACTGGGGCTGGCCACAGGGATCCCTGTAAACCCCCCCCCCCATTCCAGCAACTCCACCGGCTACTGATTTATTTTCCAAGCTGAATTCAAAGTGCTGGTTCTAACGTATAAACCCCTATATGGCTTGGGCCCAAGCTATCTCAAGGACTGTATTTCCCTTCATGGGCCTGCTCGAGTGTTAACATCATCAGGGGAGACCTTTCTCTCAGTCCCATCACCATCACAGGTGCATTTGGTGGGGACATGGGAGAGGGCCTTCTCCGCTGCTGCTCCCACAGTTTGGAACTCCCTCCCATAGGAGGCCAGGCTGGTCCCATCTTTGCTGTCCTTCTGCAAGCAGAGACCTTTCTCTTCAGGCAAACTTTCCTGAGTGACTGATTGCCTGGGTGGGCTTTTCTAAAGACTGCTGTACCTTACTGTTCTGAATGTGTTTTGTTGTTACTATTGTCCCCCCCCCCCCAATATGGCATTTGTTTGATCTGTTTCTATGTGTATACTCACCACTGTTAGTGTTAAATACTTTTAACGATGTAAGCCGTTTTGGATCGTTCTTAAGGAGAAAGGAAGGGTAAAAATATCTTAAACAAAATTAAAATAAATTACTGCTGTGGTATTTTTAATATAAGCATGAAGGATTTACAGATTACTATGTTTCTGTGATGCATATCTATTAATTGTATAAGAAGATGGAAGTACTTGCTATATGTATATATTAAGTTTTGTATCTTCACTTTGTATTTAATATTTATGTAGTTTTTTTACTTGTCTTAACCCCTACCTTTTTTTCCTGCTATACTCTAACACTTGAGTTAGGCTTGCTCCTTTGATTTCTGGTTCCTTCCTTTTTCCTGATCTACAGTTCTACAGAATCTACCCGCCAACAAGGCCACAAGAGATTCTAGGAATTATAGCCAGAACCCCCCAAAACAAAACAAAACAAAAAGCCCTGAACACACAATTTTCTTGAGCTTGGCCTTGTATGTTGGCAAAGGAAGAATGTGTTTGCTATGATGACAGTTAGGACCTACACTTTTTCTAAGAACTTCTATTAAAATTAATTGGGTTGCCCAGCTAGCTCAGGGCAACTTTCTGATTAATCAAAAGATTTGAATCTTGCTTATTAATTGATTGCTGTTGCAGCTCTACTTTACATAAATTATCTCAGTAATCCTTGTAACATCTCTGCAATGTAGGTCACTATTAAAATCTCCAATATTAATAGAGGGGCAGAATGTTATTTACCATGTTAAATATGGAATATACTTACAGTTACATGGTGATATTTGCAACATAAGATTCATTGTAATAACGTATGTGGGGGGGGCAAAATGGAAGTAATTGCATAGGCAATAAATCCAATGTATGCAGTTGGAATACCCTCAGACCTGAAGAAAAGTTCTAGTTTAATCAGGCACCGAAAGTCTAACCTGTCAGAGTCTGCCTCTTCTTATTAATCTCTTTTTAATTGTGTTTCAACATGCTTTATGTTTCAATTATACTTGCTTTTTAATTTAAATTCTACTGTTAGCTGATGGATATCCTCTTTTTTTAGTAGAAACACGGGAAACAAATTTGGGAAATAAATCAGTGCACAAAGAGAGGAAAGGGAAATTGCTCCAATTCTATTTGCAGAAGCCGTAAGGCAGACCTCTAGAGCATATATTATTATCCTTCTGAGGACCAAAGTGACAAGGTAGGAATCTTGTAATCTTTGAACATACTGTATGTCTTAAGTGAATTTTTTATTTGTTGTAAGCAAATGACAAATAGATAAGATCTGCAACAAAACGTTCTTGCATGAAGTAAACCCCATTCAGAATTCCAGCTATTCCATTCCATTATACACAGCTACTGGTTCTCACTCATCCACTGAATAGACTCAGATCTCACTAATCTATCTGCCCCCTTTCCAAGGTATTTGTTTTCCTGAGGGTACTTTTCCTCCTGTGTGTGGTTTTATCTGAGCTATATAAGGATTGCCACTCAGAAAACTAACATCAGTTTTACCATATGTTTCTGTTTACTTATGAGAGGTGAGATTTAAATTTATTCACACGAGTAATCCCTAGGCTTTATTAGATCTGTATGTCCAGGAGAGTTTATTATCACCTTGATGAGTATTTTAGAATATTCAGAATGCCATACATTTATATCTACAGTATATCATAAACAGATTAACTATTCAATTTAATGTTTAAGTGATATAAGCTTTTCTCAATATTCAGAATGCCATACATTTATATCTATATCATAAACAGAATAACTATTCAATTTAAAGTTTAAGTGATATAAGCTTTTCTGTTGATTTCATCTCTGTGCCCCCAAATGTGTAGGTGGTACTTTGGATCCTACACTAACCTATAAGAAAAACAGCCAAAACACAAATCAAAAGGTACGTGAAGAGATCACCATTCTTCAAAAGCTTTCAAGAAGCAGCTGGGGCACACAACCACAAACACTAAGAACCACAGCCATGGCCCTATGCTATTTCACAGGTGACTGTGCCAGCCTGGTGGGGTACAGTTCAGCCCATGCAAAACAGATAGATGTAGCACTCATTGTAGAATCATTACTGGATGCCCAAAGCCAACTCCTATTGATAAAATCGATTACATTACAGGCGTTGTGTCCAGTGACGCGTGGAGGGATGGTGAACAGTGAAAGACTCAATGTGTCTACATCAAATGCATACCCACTCTTAAGCTGCTATCCCACCCTTCCAAATTAAAACTGAGGAAAACAAATGTTTTTCAGAACATATGTGAATCACTAAGAAACAGCAGAGAGAACCAGGACTATAATGTGGATAGAAAGAATCACCACCTCTTCAAATGGATGAAACCCCAGGGAAGCCTAGCTTCCAATGACACAGTGAACTGGCTTACTTGGCAGTCAGACTGGCACTAGCAGAACTGAAATCTGAGAAAATAGTCATTTGCTATAGCCAGTATACTCTATGCCCCTCAAAATGTACCATTGAACACTAGATGCTAATTGTTGCAAATGCTCTTGATGTTGCCCATTATTGAGCAAAAATTACCTGACATACTTATCCATTGCACTATCATGCATTTTACATGAACAAAGAAGATAAGTTCATCCTAATTCTGGACATTTTCACAGAAGGTCTTCCTTCATTTCTGCTCTGATGCGTAATCAAATACAGTGGTGCCTCGCTTAACGAGCGCACCGTTTAACGATGAATCCGCATAGCGACCCGTTTTTTGTGGTCGCTAATGCGATTGCATTGCAATGTTTAGAGAGGCTAAACATCGCATTGCGATCATTTCTGCACCCGGCGGCCATTTTGGGAACAGCTGATCGGCGGTTCCAAAATGGGCGCTGGGTGCAGAAAATGGCTGCCCGCACCATTTTCACGCCCTGCCCTCACTTACCGAGTGCGCGAAAATGGCGGCGCTATAGAGCAACTTCGCAGAACTGTGAGTTTAAGAGCCATAGGAATGCATTAAACTAAGTTTAATGCGTTTCTATGGCTTTTTCCGTTCTGTATAGCAATGTTTCCCCATAGCGACGGTTAATCCGGAACGGATTAACCTCGCTATGCGGGGCACCACTGTAACTAGATAATGCTTCCAGCCCTCAATTTCCAACAACAACGATGATGATGTGCCATCGTCAACCCTTTTCCAGGGTTTTCCAGGGAGAGACTACTCAGAAGTGGTATTTCATTCTCCTCTTCTGCACAGTCTCCAGGTGTGCAGAAGACTGTGCAGCTTGCCAAGGCCACACAGGCTGGCTCTATGCACGGAAGACACAATGGGGAATCAAACTTCCAACGTCCGGCTCTGCAGCCAGTTATCTAAACCACTGAGCTATCCAATTCCCCACTGCTGCCTTTTTATTATTAGGAACATAGCCTATGGGGACATTAGAGTAGAAAAACCATTAGCTGAGATGCACTTATCACAAATACATTGAAGTAAAAAGATTTCTACCATATACCTGATTTTCAAATGTACCCATTCCTAACCAATTGGTCAACAATAGAACAAGGCAAAAATATTTTAACTCTTACTGCAAAAACAAACACTGAACAAAATGTGTCATTACCACACAAATAAACAGATGAAAGACCAACAGACAAGACACTGGCTGAAATCCCACTGCTTAGTGTAACAACATTCACACCTTTCAGACTATTCTTAGATTGCAAATATAGTGTCCCTTTGGGGGGTGGGAGTGCACACTGGTTGGAGCATGCACATGCTGCTTCCTTGAGACTTGCAGTGAGGACTCTTTGTTAGCCACCTAGGAATGGATTGCAAGTGACAGATTTTCTTACACTAAGCAACAGAATTTCAGATGCTATATCTGAAAACAAATACATATACTTTAGGTTTTTGTGGGTTTTTCGGGCTCTTTGGCCATGTTCTGAGGGTGTTTCGTCCTAACGTTAGGAAGAACAACCTTCAGAACATGGTCAAAGAGCCTGAAAAACCCACAACAACCATTAGACCCTGGCCCTGAAAGCCTTCATGAATACATATACTTTACTTTAAGAAACATTTCCCATGTTGTTAACAAAAAAAGTTGTTGCCTCAAAACACAATATGCATTTCCGAATAAGATGTTCGCAAATATAGACTTTTCTTACCTGGTGCAGGTTGTCTTTCATTCCATTCACTTGCAATTAATGCTTCCATGATTTTTATCTGATGTTCTGTATTGTCAGAGCTGTAGAGATATTGATCATACAGTAAAATGTATGCTGAACATATAAAATAATTCAAACACATTTATCAGATAAATGTATGCACCTCTTACCTTGCTACTGGGCACCTGAACAGCAGAAGGCTGAAGATTTCAGCTAGGAATCTTGCGTTCAGAAGGTTTTTGGTAGAGGCCTGACAAAGTCTGGAGAAATGTTTGAGCAGATATTGGAGTGTAAGCCAATACTGTTGAGGTATATTTGGCGATTTGATGAGTCTCTTCAGCACTTGAGCATATTCCTCTGAGTTCTGCACTTCTGCAAAGAAGCAAACATCTCCTAATGAGCATGGTAATATTCAACAACTGATTTAAAAACACCATCTGGAAGAGTATCAGTTAAAGACATTCCTCTCTCTCTCTCTCTCTAGCAAAAACCCATGTTTCTTTTCCTTTCCTGAAACAGCAGAAACTTTAGTAACTGAAGATGGGAGGAAAGGACAAACCATCCAGCAGTGAAAATGAAACAGATGTATCATGCGATAAAAACCACAGAACATTCACCATGTGTTGGCAGAAGTCTGTCTTCTGTTTAGTAACACACATGATCAGGAAATTCTGAGTTATAGCAGAAAAGCCTCACAGCGGGTGTTCTAAATTTGAAGGATGCAACAGCAATAATATCCAATACCCTTAGAATCTGCAACTGAATATTGAACCCATCACTGTAAAGGCTGAGTCCCACTGCCTGTATTCACTATTAAGACAGATGAGTCTTATCTGTCTGCGCTTATTGCATCATATCTCCATAATTGCCAATGGACTTCAGAATCTTGTCTGCTCTAATACATTTACCTTGTGAATGCTGATAAAAAGTTAAAAATTAGCTCTTTCGCCACACAGACAAATCCTTGGTTTGTTAACCAGTGTTTGTATAAGTATTGTGTTTGCCAAGAAACAGCAAGTTCTTACCATTGTGATCCATTTTGTACATTATGTTTTAAATATTTTAAATAAAACACCTTAAAACTTGAGGCTGGCCCATTATATAACACACATGCACATACAGTTTGAACCATGTGCACTATACTGGTACATGTTTGTTTGTTTATAACACTGTAAGAAAGCACTCCAAAAGGTGGGATGTATATTCAAGCCATAAATGCTATAAGTGAACTGTGTCTAAGAGTCCTCTTTCTGGTAGATTGAAGCTTTCCATATCCTAACCATCCTGAAACATATTCAGATTCCTGAACTATAGATAATAAGGATTTTAAGAAAACACTTTTATGATGAGAAAAAAAATTACATGCATACCTTGTGCTATGGAAATCATTTCATTGTAAACAGATGCTGGAATGACAGGATTTGGCAAGTCGAGAAAGTACCTCTTCAAAGCATCTGATAAAATCTGCAGATCAATGGCATCAAAATCCACTGAAGAAACATCTGAGAGAGAGAGAGAGAGAGAGAGAGAGATCTCTTTTTGCTGTCTGAACAATTATCTCTGTATTCTCGTTTCAATATAGGACACATACAAAGTTTATCAATTTGAATTAATAACAAAATACTCATAGCAAACAAGATATCTAAGTATTTACTTTTATTTACCCATTCATTTGTTCTGTAGCCCACCTCTCAATTCAGAAGGATTCTCATATTGGTTTGCAAACTATGGGGTACCATATTCTTCCTTCAATTACAAACTTGAAGATCTTTTTAAACAGGACGGAAGAGCCAGGTAGAGCAGCTGGGCTTTAGACAAGCTGTTGAGTGATACAAGTTAACTCTTCCACTGCCTGCATTTTCTGTTGCTCAGGTGTGTCTGTCATACTCCCTTCCCCTACTCTCAGCACTGCAGGTAATTTATTATCTAACGAAATGTTTAAGAGGTTTCCACACCATATAAATATTACATTAGCATATAATTTAGAAAATCAGGAAGTCTTACTATATTGCATAAGGCACTGTATATACAAGGAAGGATGACAACACTCTACTCCATGTGCAGATGCCATTAGATTTCATACAGAAAGTACTGCATTCTTATCAATTATACCAGCTGACAATTCAGATAAAGTATAAAAGAGTCTACACATTGGCAATGAAGGACTAAAGGGCTAGCAAGTGTCTTCTCTGAAATGAACAGAACTCATACAATTATTTTAATATGCATACTTTCCTCTAGTTCACATGGAAATACAAGGAGACTATTACAATCCTTCTAAAAATCCAAGGCATTTTTAATTGAGCAATGTTGTACCTATTAATATTTTGAGCAAACAGCAGCGCCATAAAGCACTACAAACCCGTATCAATACAATGTGAAAAAATATATAGTATATTTACTGGCACTGAAACCAACTTGTAGATCTTTTAAGTTTTAAAATTTAAAAAACTTAAAACATTTAACTTTTAAAATTTCAAGCATATAATGAAGTATACATAAATACTACTAATTGCATGCCATCAGGTTAACCCTGACTTACGGCAATTCTTTCAAGTTCTAAGTACAGAGTGCTCAGAAATGGTTTACCGACACATACTACAAGTAGACACACATGCATTTGTGCATCTGATCTGCACATGCATAATGCGATTTTAATACCAAAAATATTTTTAAATTTAGAATGTATTTGCCATTTCTTATTGGCCAAAATCTTGTTGACCAGTGTCTGACTGCATAAGGGGAATGATATCACCAGACTGATATCGATTAAATGCTTCCTTTTGCAATGGTAGATAGCGATCCCTTTGCCACATCTTAATAAGAACTGGCTCAAGCTATTGGCAGGACGGGGCTTTGAGTGGTCCAGAAACAAGCATGAAAGACTCAGGGCCTGCTCAGTCAGGTTCCATGGAGTGTAAAACGACAGACTGCACCACTGGGATGGGTGCTGCTCCACAATGAATGAGCCAATCAGTGGGGTACTATGATGTTCTGATTCTTCCTTGCTGTAGAGCAGGGGTGTCCAACGTTTCACCTTCCCTGGGCCACATTAGAAGATGAAAATTTGGTTTGGGCCGCACATACATTTGGTTTGGGCCGCATGGGGGGCAGCTCTAGCCGTCCTCCGCAGCCCCGCTCCAAGCGCGCTTACCGGCAGCTGCGATCTCAGACAGCAGAGGCTGCCAGCTTCGACTCCGACGGCTTTATGGGGCCGGGAGGGGGTCCACCTATTGACGGGGACGGCACAATGCAGTCAGGCAGCCCCCCATCCCCTCCCCTCACACTCCTTCCATCCTTCCCTCTCTCCCCCTCTACTGTGATTATGTGCCCTGACCACATTCCGGCCACAAGCGCTGGCAGTGTAACTTAAACTTTGGAACTTCTTTAAAAATAAAAAATTGCACTGGGCCGCATTACAAGCTGACCTGCTCGGGCCGCAGGTTGGACAAGCCTGCTGTAGAGCTTTAGTCGTTAGAAAGAAATCTTTTTGTTTTCAATACAATTTAAGAACCTTTATTTAATTTCATTTTATTTTTCCCCTCCACATGAGATCTGTTTCTCAGGTATACAAAAAGTGATCCTCCCCTACTGGCTCAGAGACTCCTGCTTTCCAACCCCTGAAGAATACAGTGTGCCACTGGAAGCTGTTACTGTCAATGTGTGTCTATGACTCTCTGTGTCCTCTGTTTTGACACCCTCCCCTTTGATAACTGGCAAAAGTCTTCCCCATACTTCTGAGTAGAGCTTGAATTCTGGAGGAAAATTCCAACCTGTGCCCAAGGAACGATATGGGTGTTATCCTACATATTTTCTGTTTCCTCCTTTTCCCCCCTTATACTCCAAACTGGTGGCTATGAAAATCACAGGAGGATTCACACTCATGCCTATAAGGAGGCATGGAGCATGGAACCCAGGGAGCTGTTGCAGAGCAGTGATGGAATGCAAACAATGAATCATCAGTGATGAATCATCTGTGATATTTCAGAATTGTTCGGTCCTTCTATAAGCGGGTAGCACTACTGGCATATTCCCAACTGGTGAGGCACGGGCTATATTTCCAAAGATGACATGGATGTGTCTTGTTCTTCCAGCACTTTATATCTTTTTCATGTGTGGGTTTTCCTTTCTCCCCTCTTAGGCTGAGAATACAGCAGCTGCTCCACTGTATAGCAGCAGTATATCTCTTGCTGAAGCATAATGTGAATGCAGGATTGCTCTGTTCATTTCAAAGACTTTAATAACAAAAGCAATCTTGCTACATGAACTCAGCACCACTCTTTTTCAACTGAAAAGAATCATTACAGGAGTCATCTGAATCTATGCAATATCAGTTTCACTGTGAAAATAAGTGCATTTTTCTTTATCTCCAAAACAGATTAAACTAACACTATATAATTATATATGTATTGGTCAGAACTCCTCAATTAGTTTTTCTTATAAAATACAGAAAAACAGCTTTGGTAAAAACGAGACTTTCAACTGGAGTTTATGAAAGAGCCACAGAATCTGTTTGTTTTAAGGGGGAACCATAAATGAAAGGATTAGAAAACATTATCACATGTAAGGATATGTCACCAGAGACCTAGACTAGGATAATTCACTTTTTTGTATTCCCAATCAGCATGTACAGGTAGGTGTGAAAGCTGGACAGTAAAGAAAACTGATAGGAAAAAAATTATTCATTTGAAATATGTTGCTGGAAGATTACTTTGTGAGTATGCTTGACTTCCAGAGAGGCAAATAAGTGGGTCCTAGAGGAAATCAAGCCTGAACTCTATCTTGAAGGCAAAAATTATGAAACTCAAGCTGTTCTACTTTGGGCACATCATGAGAAGGATTCTCTAGAACAGACAATAATGTTGGGAAAAGTTGAAGGCAGCAGGAAAAGAGGGAGACCAAATAAGAGATTGATGGACTATCTAAAGGAAGTCATAGGCTTCGGTTTACAAGAGCTGAAGCAGTGTTATTGAGGACAGGACTTTTTGGTGATCTCTCATTCATAGGGCTGGAGGTGACTTAACAACAAGTAAAACAAATAATCTGAAAAATGGAAAATATTATTTTAAAATCTTAAAGTTTTTGGTATGCAACTAAATGTGGACTTTGCATGTCATCTGTCCACTGCTATAAATATCTATGTAAGCCTATTTCTTTCTAACACTGCAGTTGTACTACAATATGAATTACCGTATTTTTCGCACCATAAGACGCACTTTTTTCCCACAAAACAGGGGGGTGGGAAGTCTGTGCGTCTTATGGAGCGAAAAATACGGTAATAATAATAAACTGCAGATTCTACATTTATGGTTTTCATATTACACATCCTATGTATGGAATACCGATAGAATGAAGATTGTAACAGATTAACCAGTTAGCTGAAGATGAATTACACTGAAATTTACGCATTTACAACCCAAGCTGTCTACTAAAAAGAAAGAAAAATTGCTGTACCTACCACACTCAGTAATTTGTCTTAATTCACCAATGCTGCTTGACCCTTGTGACCTGTACAATGTTGAACATTCCAGACCTAAAAAGCAGAACAAAATGGTTAAATGGCTTCTCAAATCAAACATAAAGCCTATGAGCTTTTGTTTTGTAAAGACCTCCCAAGTGCCACCACATAGTAAAAATCAGTGTCTGATTTTGTCTTCAGTCTCTCACATGTAAACACACTACACAGGGAATGCCCAACATATGTATATGTATCTGTAAATTAATATTTGGGGAACATTAGAAATCTACAAATGCAAGAGTAGGTAATACCTTTATAGACACTTAAAAATAATCATACAATCTTCTAGCTTTTGTGGATCAGAATGTAATTTGTAATGAAATTATGAATTAGAAATCTAGTTGATGCTATTTAAAACACTATCTGAAATCCTGATATGTAGCTACAACCTATGTAACTTGAAGTTGGACAAGCAACTACAAAATCTGTACCAAGTCAGAAATCTTATCCAGAAGGCAGTTCAGCATGCACAGTTGTATTATCAGTGTGTCGTTCATTGCACAATCGGATATGAGGACTGCATGGCCTTAACATCACAGGTGTAACTTTACATGTCAAATGCAATAGGACTTCAGCCAGTGATTTCAACAGTATGCATAAAACTCAAACAAAAAATGAATTGGGACATCTCCTGTAGGAGAGGACTGATTTAGGGCAGAAGCCTCCCAGCATCTCGATCAAGAACTAAAGCGCAGTCTGAAACCATTTGTGTGGATTCACAGAGGCCACAAAGAAGAAACATAAGATCTTAAAAGGAACGGCACCATGAGTACCATAGTACACACAGATTATAAAACTAAGTGACCCAGGCTATGATTTCCAGGTGGTGTCAATGCCTTCCTTCCAAAGTTGCACAAAGCAGATCTCTCTGAAAATACTGTTCCATAACCTGGATGCCGTTATTGAACTGTAGTGATTATCTGCTTCATTTCATTCAGCAAAGTTACTCAGAACATAAACTCACAAGATCTCTAAGTGCAGGTGGTTACTTATGAAAAAAGGTATGTTTAAAAACTTGTCTTAATTTAAAAAAACCCACAGAAAACTCAATTAACTTTATGTGCAATTCCAATCATTACTGTTCAAGAACAGAAAATCTGTGCTAAGACTCAGTATTGCCTGTTATTACTTCTGATGTGTGCTGTACAAACTGTGATTCTCAAAGGGTGCTCGGCTTACAAGAGATTAATATCCTGTTACAATCTCATTTATAGTTTACATACCTTTTCTTTCAATGGCTTCCACTAACTTGACAAGAAGGGGAGGGGCATTATCAGGTTGTGAAAACTGCTCTGTAAGGTCTGGAAGTGTAGAAGCTGTAAAGAAATGAAGAATGAATCAGCATGAATAAAATAAACCAAGCTATGGAAAATCAGGAGCTATAATACAGCTGGTTAAACTTTAAACACTAAATAAATTTAATTTGTTAACTGTCAAGGTCTATACAAATGGTTCCTCTGTCAGTCCTTACTTGCATACTGGGATTCTACATAACCTCGCTGTGCACAACAAATAAGGTCAGGTGTTGCATACTGGCAATACACTGAGTATCAGCAGACTCCATATTACCTTTCCACTAACTGTATACTGTACACTAATACTATACTATACAGTGGTGACTCGCTTAACGATTACCTTGTTAAACGATGAAACCACTTTACAATGAAGTTTTTGCGATTGCTATTGCGATTGCAAAACGATGTTCTTATGGGGAAAACTCGCTTATCGATGATCGGTTCCCTGCTTTGGGAACAGATTTTTCTCTGGACGACGATTTTAAAACAGCTGGTCGGCAACTCTAAAATGGCCACCCGCTGTGCAAAATGGCTCCCCGCTGTGCTTTAGGACGGATTTCTCGCTTCACAGGCACCGGAAAATGGCTGCCCTATGCGTCTTTGCTGGACGCTGAGGTATCTAGCCCACTGGAATGCATTGAACCCGTTTTCAATGCATTTCGATGGGCTTTTTCGTTTCGCTTGATGAGGATTTCGCTTAACAGCGATTTGAATGGAACGAATTATCCTCGTCAAGCAAGGCAGCACTGTACTAATACACTCAATTTCAGAAACATTCTTCTATTTTAGACTATTTTGCAATTTTTTAACTATTCCTTTTGCTCCCATAGCCTCAATCCATGTGAAAATCAAGTACATTCTCACCTATGAGAAAAAGTAAAGAGAGGAGAGGTTATGAACCTAACCTGAGGCCTTTTATTACAGTGGAGAGGAACAATGGCCTTGTCACTGAGATATTTTCAGGTCAGTGTACCACTGTCAACCTACTGGATCGAAGTCAGACAGGAGATGTGGTTGCATGGGAATTAGCACCTGCCATGTCTTCGGGAGGGGAAGAAGAAATGGCCTTTTTTGTGCTGACTGTCTTGAGGAGCCAAACGTGCACCCAAACATGCTAGGAATGTCATGTGATAGATGTGGTGGAACAATTCCCAAAAAGTACTCAACACTGCAGAAGTAACATCCAGCACTTAAGGGTAGTAATTGCATGCTGTTTTGCAACTAGAGTAACTCTCAAGGCTGACCTATGCAGGATTCTTGTCACGCCTTCTCCCTTTTAACCTGCCATTGTGACTGATGAGGGAGGATTTCTAGGCCTAACTGTGCAGCCTAAACATAGACTTTATATAAGAGTTCTTGGAAAATACAAACATCAAGTTGAAGCCCACAGATATCTACATTAATGTTCAACACCAGCTGAGGGATGCCTCTTCTCTTGGAGAGCAGGTAGTACAATTGTTAAGAACACATGCACTTTCTCAAAAACTGTTTAACAGGTCATTTTTTTCAAAGGTGACCCTTCCCATTTCAGTCTGCACTCTTCACAGAACAATTTCTTGATTGTGCACAGAACAAGAATCTAAAATCACAGAATGGGAGCTGAAAAAGATTGTTTGTAGCTCACTAAGTGGAAGTGTATCAAATAAGAGATCAACTCCTATGAAACAAGATGTTCTTCCTTATTTTGTAAAGAAAGCAGTTGTTTTAGGTATGCAGTTTGCAATCAGAAATAATTTTGTATAAAAATGCCATACACACATGCGTATTTATGTAGATATTTTCATTCATAGCATATCATATTACAACTGTGTGTGAAACAGATCCTTCAGAGGCTGAGGCAAAGACGGACTGGGAAAAAACCCTGCTTGAAACATCTAAAACCTGTTTTGTTTCTCTTATGCCCCCTAGTGCTTCCTGAGAAGAAGGAAAATTGAAGTTTCATCTCTATTTCTTTTGAGCCCAGCTGTACCATATTGTACCAGAACTGTTGAAAAAGTGTTGAATCGTGGTCCATGATCTGCTGTGAGGAATGCAGCCCATGCACAATGGTATTTTCCTCTAGACAGCTTTTGTGCTGCAGGAATTGTATGAGTAGGCTATCTGCCAAAGAAAAATCCAAACAGAATAGAGGAACTGTCAAAGCAACTGCTGCCCTTGCACAGTTCAAGAAGTACCATTTTAAAAAAAAGTGTCATAAAAAAAACTTCTTAGCACACAAAATAAGAATGGCTCTAAGATAGGGATCCATCTCTATACCAACCACACCACTGTTTTATAACAGCAAGCTAACTTTCCTTTCACCAACAGAGTTTAATAATCCAATAATATGTCAATATACATAGCAGCTACTTGTAACTACTCAGCATCTAGGCAAAACCAGTTTGAAGATGGAATAAAATGATTAATAGAGATCAAATATCTGCACAAATACATACTGTTCTTTTAAAGCAGCTATTAATGTTAAAACATTTTCAAGTGACTTCCCTGTCTCTAGTTAGAAAAGTAGGGTGCTGCAAATTGCAATATTTCAAATGCTATCGTATGGGTATTTACTCAAAAGTAGTTGAAATCCAACAGCAAGTCACAACTTGAGTAGGCCCATTAAATCAATGGAATTTAAAGAGGAGTTGACCCACCAAATCCTTGTTGATTTAATAGTCATACTTTATTTGCAACTTACTACTGGATTTCAGCCAGTAAATCCATTTTCAGTTAGATGTTCTCAAAGGAAGCATACATTGTATTTGGTAGACAAATTAACTAAGATATTCCTCATTGCCTAAAAGGTCACTCTTTCCCCAACAGAGCTGCAGTTATGAAATATAATTATTACTACAATTTTTTTTAAAAAATAAACCTCTTGTAATAATTAGCTGTAGTGTTCTGCAAGGTTTCTGTTTAAAGTTCTCATGTGATTATACTGCAACTGGTATTTTCCATTTTTGGCACAAATCTAAAAATTGCAACCATTTAAAGAAGAAGAAAAAGACCTCAGGAAACATTTGTCTGCCAAACTAAACATTTTACTGCATTCTTAGAACAAATGCCATTTTACAAGATTTAAACAGGGGGAGGCCAGGTTTGTTCATGATGCTTTTATTTTTTAAAATGCTGACATGCTACAGCAACAAATTGGAATAAAAGTCAGTATTCTTAACTACCAAAGCCAAAACAAGCTCTGTAGATGGATTAGATATAACAGAGGAGAAGACTTCATATATTAAAAGGATTTATTAGAAAAAAACAAGCCTGGCTTCCAACATGCAATTTTTAAAGAACACACAGAGATAATAAAGCTTGATGAGCATCTTGAAATCAGTACCTGACTTTAAAACTATCTTCTGCTTGGAAGTGTGCTGTAAAATAGCACAGAGGTTTGGAGACCCAAGTCCATTCTTAAGAATCTGGGCAACTTTGCAGAGTCCTTTGCTACAATCCAGTACTAGTTTTTCACTTGAAGTAATCATATTTTACTTTTAACATTAAGACAATGCACTGTATGTGCCCCAGCTTTATCTTAAACCCGACTGTCTACAAAATTCATAAGACGCTGGAGAAGTCTCAAAGAGCCTTTCTCGCTAGTTACAAAGCATTTATTTCAGGTTAAAGGAGGCTTCTGATGACATGTCAGAAATGCTGCATTTTCCACTGGTTCTATTTTTACCTTGCCATGGTGATAACCAATCAGAGAAAAGGGAAGCAGGGATTCCCTCCAATCCCAAAGCTCTTCTCTCTCACTAATAGAGACAGGCCTGAACAGCATTTAGCAACAGCAACGTGTGGGAGCCGACAGCATACCTTGCATCTGAGCCCTGCCAACATAGCTACAAAGTGCAAGATGAAACCAGCACACAGCTGCACCTTTTGGAGGAGTTCTCAGTAAAAAGAGATTATCAGTTATTACCTGGCAAAGGGTTATGGAAAATTAAAGCTGGAAGATTGGCTTGGTGAGTGTCTGAGCCAAACCTTTCTTTCATTCCTGCCAGAAGAAGCATGAAAGTGCACAGAACAAAATTTATAACTTAACCTAGCCTTTAAAATGTAGCACAATACACCATGGAAAAAAAGTGACTCTCTTACTAGAAAGTATATAGGAGACTAGGAGCCAGTATCACAAGTTCAATCAAACCGAACTCATTTTAGCTTTTCTTTTATCCTAGGTTTTTAGAAATGTTTGTCCAATTGCAAATATCCCGAAGCATGAATATCTACCTGAGAAACAATTATACCTTATCTGATTTTGGAGGTATACCAAGGAGAAAATGTTCCATCACAATGCTTTTATATAGCTAGCATAAACATTGTCTTAGATGTATAAACGTATCTTGGAAACTCGCACTGTATGAATAGAAATGAAGAGAAAGCTAAGGATGCGTTAAATCCCATGTACAAACACTATTCAAATGTTACTGATTACATGGCCTTTATCTTTACAGAGAATTTCCTGAGCAGCAAGCTATAATCTGAAGAGTTTCAGAGATATTGTTATCATGTGGGTGTGAGGACAAAAACAGGTGCTGCTTGGAAGAAATCACTGAAAGCTCACTGGGCACATAACAGGATTCTTTACATCATGGCCAATTATTTTCCAGTACTGTAGGATTTTCTCTAAGACTGCATTCAAAGTTATAGTAAGAGGAAAGTATTTTATTACCTACAGTTTCTATTATGTATGGAGCTGTTAGGTAAACAAAATTAAGCACACAATTCTATAAAAAATTTATTAAAAGTAAATTTCATTGTACCTGCTGGGACTTCTTTCCAATTAAACCTGCACAGGATTATGCAGTACCTGTTCTCAGTAATTAGGAAACAATTTTCCAAAACACTTAAATAAGTAAAAGGATCAAAGGAGAAAACTACGAATATAAGCAGTCAAAAAGAATACACCTTGATGAATAGATGAATTTATTTATTTATTTCATTTATACCCTGCCTATCTAGTCAATTGTGACCACTCTAGGCAGCCAAAGAGTGTCTCCCACTAGGACAGGATTCTAGCTGGAACATCTGGAAATCAG